TGCAGCGGCTTTGCCGCGGGGGGAGCCCAGAGGGTGCCAGTTTGTTGCGCAACGACGCCACAGGGGTACCCCGGCCGGCTCGTTCCAGGCACAGCTACGTCATAGGGGCACATTCCAGGCAGAGCCACGTCACAAGGGCACCCCACCCCCCCAAGCGCTGCCCGGAATTCAAGGCCGCTGCCCCTGGGGCTTTCTCCCGAGGTCCCACCGAGTCCAGCAGGACATATAAAAGAAAGAGCTAACTCTTTCACATTCCCGAAGCGTAGAGAGTTGGCAACACTGGGGTCAATCCCAGTCTAGCCCAGGCCAGGCCATGTGCATGGAGCCCACGCTTGCCCAGGAGGCAGCCCTCTCAGGGCTTCACCCGCCCCCTACCTAGAGCCACCTTCTTCATGGCCACCCTCAACTGACCCTCTTCCTCCTTACAGCGTCTGGGTCTGTCCAAAACATAGATGGCAGGGCAGCACCTTCAAGGTTTTCGTGAGCAACGACCTACTTTGGTGGCTGCGTTGACGAAAGCTCGTGCGTCTCCCAACCAGCTCGTCTCCATGGTGCTGCTCTGCCCTGACTTCAGCCTGCCGTGGCTGACCCCCAGCCTCTTCACACAAGGTGTGCTGTTTCATGGATCTGGTTAAACCGAGATGATTGCTTTTGTATGGCTGCTGCCTCTGGCGTCAAAACAAGTGGATCAACAGCCATGCACAAAACTCTTCCAGATACAGTTCTTGTAATGTTACCCACTTTTGTTTAAAAAAGACAAAACAACAAAACCCAAAAAGATGCAGCTGGGTGTAATCTAGGCCACACAATGGCTCCGTTAATGACACTCACAAGACACCTAGGGAACTGACCTGAACAGCAGCAGCAGCAGCTTCTCAACAAGAACATCCCAAATAGCACTACCGTTCTGGAAAGAACTTATAATAGGGAGAAAAAAAATCTATTAAAACCACCTTCTCTAAAAAGACAGAACTAGGCTCACATTGCAAAGTCTGGAAAGGGGGGCCGGAGGAAGGGGCAGGGGAAGAAGAGCAACTAAAAAGAAAAAAAAAAAACAATCTTTCCTGATCAATACAAATCGCTAGCAGATTGTTTTGCTATTCATAGTGACAACATATTGGCATGAGTGTATAACATATGGCCAAAAAACAAGCCAGAATGTTTCAATCAAATCAATGGTTGACAAACCTCACTCGCCTCTTAGCTGCTAAACATAGCTGCTAATATCCACCCACATACGAAAGGACACACCAATATATCAACAGCAGGAAATAATAACCTTAATAGGTGTCACCAACTTGGCCCGTTTCGGTGAGTGGATGCAGAGCACAGCACTGAGCTCACACTTCCACTGCCGCACAGTGCCATGTCTTCTATTTCACAATAACTACAACTATAGCCCTGTCAGGAGACCTGGCAAGAATCCTAGGACAATAAAGGTTGTAACACAGCTCTGTTAGTTTAGATATAAATTACAGCCAAATTACTCTAGTTGTAAAAGACACTTAAGCAATCTCATCTGCACTAGAAAAAATTAAAAGCGAGTTATAACCTGATGAGAGGACAGAGATAAACCTTGACTATGGGAGAAAAGTATCTGTTATTTAAAAGAGGGCCTGTTTCAACCCGATATATTGTTTTAAAAAATTCAAGTCCTATACTATGTATCAGGTCAGTAAACAGGTTTGTTCCAGTCAAACCTAACGTAAACTAGTGAAGAAAACAGTGGCCCTTCCTATGTTATAAAACAGCCATCTTCAACATACAGGTTCCCTTGCTTTATACTATGCACTGTTTTCCAGGAACACACATACAACTCGAATTCACATAAAGGGAACTCACTTTACAATGCAACAAATAGGGATATGTTCCAAGACTTCAACTGTACTGACGCCCAGACCCATTTCTACCACTTACAAGACAATTTTGGTACTCACCAACAGCAGACAGTACACACGAGCACAGGGTGGTGATGAATGTTACCGTAGTGGAAATGGCAACTAAAGAAACACATCACAGACAACGAGCAAAGAGCACAGATCTACACAGGAGACTATGTTGGTGCATGTCACTCCCACAATGCAACGCACAAAGTAGCTGACTGCGGGCTTCCGCCACACTGAATCTACCTCGCATACAACGAATTTTTGGTATAAAAAGGGTCATCGCATAAGAGCAGATATAGAACCTGTATAAAGCAAGGGAAACCTGTATTTGAAATCACATGCATCTTGGTCATGCTCCTCCCCACCAAAGTCTACACTGGCATGAAAGCCCATCCTTATAAGTTACAAAAAACTTGTTTGTAGCCCAGCCTAGGATGATTACACATAGCTGTTTCTGTAATGTAGATCTGGCATGATTCTAGAAATAGCCACATGATAAGAAAAAAAAGAAAGAGACCAAGAAAAAGGCACCAAAAAAGACCACCAAGTTGACCAAAATGCTCCTCCAGTTTCCCCACTCAAGCCATTTGGGAAAGTTCAGGCCGGGAGATAAGAAAACATCACCTTTGATAGGAATTACAGAAGGAGAGGAGAGGAAACCTTTCTTGGGGATCCTTAGGAAAAAGGTGTGGCACGGGAAAGGGGAAAATGGGCTAGAACAGAGACAGACCTAAAAAGTCAGAGAATATTTCGGCTAATGCTGAGTGAAACTGAAAAGCCCTCTAAAAAAATGTATCTTGTTTTGTAGAGGATGCATCAGAGGAAGCATACAAATATCCTGCAGGTGCAAACTGCCCCGTTCTCTCTCTCTGTCAAAGTAAGATTCTTCATAGCAATCCGAAGTTTGGACTTCATTCAAATACAAACATTCTGCTAAGGTTGGTTTTCATCTTGTAATTTGCACATCACAGTTACTGTACAGTACAAAAAGTGTTCACTCATTCACACTAGGGAATTCCAAGCTGTGCATTGTTCACAAGGAAAAACAAAAGTCATATTTAGGGGAGCACTGAGGAAAGTTTCTCAGAGCTAGGGGAGATCCAAATCCACCTTGTTTTATCCAGAGACCTTTATTAGAGGCACCTGCTGAGCAAAAATTGTAAAAAAAGTCCTGAGACAGTAGAATGTCCACCCCCAACCTCACCCCTCGCGTCTTCATTCTTGTGTAGGCTTTTATGAGGTTAACTCTCCGTCTTGCTATTCTGGGTCTTGTTCAGGTTGTCAAAGCTTCTTTGGAGCAGAGAAAGGGAGCTCTTCAGCTGTGGAGATACAACCCCCGCCACCCAAAACACTTAAGTTACAAGGCTACAATAATAAGAAAACTGGAACATCAATTATTAATTTTTATTTTTCTTTACAGTCAAATTAATTCCCTGCCACCCCTTCATATTAACAGTAGTCTGTAGTTAAATCATATTTTAGCTGCCCAGCAAGCACAATCCACAATATAGATTGTCATTTCTATACAGCTACTGAACTCTTTGCACTTGTACCCTGCTAAACTACACTGCAGCTGCACTAGCTACTTGGAAGAAATAAGTGACACCACTCTTATTTTTTAATATCGCTCCTGCTCAAGACAAATACTGTAAGCCCACCACAAGGTGGGCATTACAGTAGTGTCTCCTGCTGTATGTTGAGGCACTAGCCACTCATACAGGACAAGATATAATATGGATTTAAAATGCATCAGGACTTCTAGAGGAAGTTTTAAAAAGTGCTGATTTTTGTCACATCAGAAAAATAGTTAACATTCACACTCCATACATTTAAATATTTCATTTTGCCTGCTTTTTTAAAATAGCATCTTCAAAGTTTGCAATTAGTTACTGTTCCAGTGGCAGAGTTAGGAAAGCAGAGAGTGGAGATTCAGAAAGGGGAGAGGGAAGGAAAGAGTAAGTAAGAAATTTCTATCCTTTTTCAATAAAGGTTATTTTCCAGCTGTACTAGAAGTAGGTAATATCAGAGTGGCAGCAGTTTACAGGCAGGTAGTCCTGGGAACAAGACAGGCCCAAAATTATTTTATCTGCATTCCCCCAGACTCTCAGGGGGAGAAAAGTGAGGCACTGAGAGGAGAATAGGAGTTATGAGCTCCTCCATGGTGTCCTTAATTACAAACATAAATTCTGTACAAGTCCTAGGGCACAGTGATAGAACTCAAGTCAGAGGGTTCACAGCTTACAAAATCAGAATCAACTGATTCAGTCCTTCCCCTCAGTGAAAAACAGCTTCTCAACCCAGCAACAGATCTGCAGCCTCCATCTCATAGGGGCAGGCAGGAAAAAAGCCAACATGTGTTGTATAAGATAGGCCTGATGGTGTAGAGAAAGTGAGGTGGGTAGGGGGAGGAACAGTGCCAAGCCACTGAGGGAGAAGTTACTGACTAGTACTGTCCCTTGAGTCCTCCTGCAGACAAGAGGATGGAGCCATACAAAAGGAAACCTAATCTTAAACTTGTCCAGGTTTTATAAATATACCCATGCCACCTTATACGAATTAACAAAAATTCTTGACAGACTAAGTGAGCATGGACACTTGATCTTTCTTTGTCCATCATAATCCACCAGGAAGACTACCACCATTTTTTGTAAATTAAACAGACGGTAGTAAAGAAGTCTGAGGACTCCAGATCACACAGGAGGCTGCCTCTCTACTACTTTCCTCAAAACAAGGGAGGAAAGCTAGAAAAATCGGGGTATCACTGGAAAGCACTGCCAGTATCAAGAAAGTTTCTTAAGTATGGGCCTAAACCATTGTTAGTGTGATGCTCTATACTCCATCCCATCAGCAAAACACAAAAGTTCTTTCACTAGAATTTACTGCTCAGAGTCCTCCTACACCTCCTAGAAATTCAGTGAGCAAAGCTAGCAAGGTTTTAGCCTAAGAGGATGTCAGGTTTGTCATTACTCCAGCACAAACTGCTATCAGGAAGGCAGCCAATCTAGTCTGAATTCATTTATCTTGAAGTATCCAGATAACTCCACAGAGCAAGAAACTTTCCACTGACTATTCAAGTCCCTTACCATCTTCTTAAAGTCATTTAAATCCAGCAGCTTCTGGTTCCTTCTTTCAGGACTTGATTTCTAGGCCCAACTAAAGCAAATTTAAGCTTCCCTCCTTAAACTCCCTTTAAAGCCATTTGCAATCAGATCCATATCAAGCGCTTAAAATTCTCTGTGCTTGCAGACTGGATTTCTGCCTTGATTTTCCTTGTGCTAAGTGAGTAGAACTATAAACATTATTGGATGTTTTTGCAAAACTAAGTTTAGACTCCAACATTTGCCATTACCAAGCTGTGGAACAGTCATCCCAAAGGAAATGACCAACCCTGATGGCTTGCTTCATTTCAAGGGAGTACAGGGAACACTCCTGCCCTGGCGTTATGATGGAATATGTTCTTTAATAGGTCTGCTCCGTTTCTAATTCTTAGAAGTAAAGCGACTGTAAGACTCCATGGACTTATTATTCTACTGCCACATCTCTGCAAATACGTAGCGCTGAGGGAAGGAGACATTGTGCATAGGAAGAGAAAGCAGCACCTTCCAGCAAAGGAACAGCAAGGTGCAAAGATGCAGCTGCATTTTCTTTGCCACACTGCTGCAATGATACTCTTCCTAAAGTTGTGCCACTGCAGCCTGGTTTGTTTACTTCATGGAGCAGGATACTCTCTCAATTGGATGTTAAACCCTTTTCAAATGACCCATTTGTTTCTCACAGATATCTCAAAAGGCAATACAATTGCACTGATGGTGGGGGGAGAGGGTCCATGAGAGAATTTGGAGCTCTACCTGCTCAAGCATTGCAATAGAGTCCCGCAATACCCCCTTCACATGCTGAACTTGTTCCTTGTCGTACTGAGGGATTTCTTCTCTGGATACCACATCAGGAGCCAAGCTGAAAAGAGAACAAGATCTTCAGTTTCAGGAAACATCAGCTCATCCATATCCAATGATCACTGTTCTTTGCCAGTTCTTGTTAGCAACCGGTAGTGTGAACTGTATTAAACTATCTATAGTTATGTGAAACTACAGGGCAGATTCTATTTCACCTCTTAGGCACATAAGTGGACTTAGGCACCTACATGAGATTTCATTTCACTCTGCTAGAGTTGCTGAAAAACAGTTCATTCAAAAAGTGGGTTCTATCTCCTCCTCACTGCTTTGTTGCGACTCAAGTCTTAAGGCTAAGATGAAGTAACAAAAGTAGATGCATTAATGGATTTGCAGAACTCAAGCAGGGTGAAATAGAAAAGCACTTATGCATGTAAGTCCACTTGGATGCCTAATAAGTTGATAGGATCTGGCCCCATGTGACCACTTTCTTAGAGGCTTAGCTTTTAATATCTGTTGCCTAAAACATACTAAGAAGTAGCATGCCCACCAATACAATTTTCCCTCAGACTCTGAAACAGGAGTAACATCTGTCATCAGAAAGAGAGGAAAATGATCTAGTTCTGCCCGTCTTGGGTTGCAAAGGTCCTTCTTGGCCTGAACCCCTTCTTTTCCCTTAGCCATTCTCTCCCCTTCTCCTCAAAATCAAAGTAGATTTGGAAACTGCCATTAATATATCAAATTCAGCTGAAGCAAGACAGATAGCAAAGTCTGCATTTACATAAATGAAAGAGGAGCAACCAACAGCATCAGAAGATCATTAGCATATCTGCCCTGTCCAGCTCTAAAAATCCTGTTTTATAAGGGCACATCAGTTCCCAGAGCATTTACTCAGTCAAATTCAGAAGCCTGATCACTAAGGATATCAAGTGGATTTGCAAACAGCAGCATGCATTTAAATTAGATTGCGTGTTCAGGATTTGAAACTGTAAAGTACAACAGAAGTGATAAGTGTTTAATGACTTCATGCTTCCAAATTGGAAGCTATTAAAAAAAGAAAAAATGGATCTTGATCTTTCATGGAATCGTCAGGTTGAAAGGGACCTCTCAAGGGCGACCTAGTTCAATCCCCTCCCCAAGTGGACGACACACTATTCCTCCACTATCCCCAACAAGTCCTTATCTTGAAAACCTCCAATAAAAGGAGATTCCAGGATTTCCATGGACAGCTTATCCTGTTATCTTAGCATTCTGACAGTAAGGAAGTTTTTTTCTGAGATTCAGTCTGAATCTTCTTTTCTAAAGTTTATATCCATGGCTTCATTTCCTGCATTCTGCAGCAAGGAAGAACAATTGTTCTGGCTCTTCTTTATGGCAGCTTTTCAAGTATTTGAAAATTGCTATCATGCCCCATTCCTCCCCTGATCCACCCACCCTTTACTCTTCTCTTCTTCAAAACTATAAACCATATTTAGTTCTCTCAACTCTTTTCTCTCCATCTCCATGTC